ACCCTGAGCCCTGCGCTGGGACCACACGCTCCTCAGTCCATCATCCTCACATGCAGCACCGCCAAAGGTTAATTCTGCTGTTCTTTCCTTTATTTATAGGATCTGGTTCTTTTTATCAATGTTTAATGCCACATCTCTTGTTTCAGGGATGTATGTTGTTGGCATACATTATACCGGTCATCATGTGTCCACTAAAATGGGGGTGAAATCAAAATCAAAACGTATTTATTTGCCAAATAAATTCATTTAATAAATGAATCTATCTATCTATCTATCTATCTATCTATCTATCTATCTATCTATCTATCTATCTATCTATCTATCTATCTATCTATCCATCCATCCATCCATCCATCCATCCATCCATCCATCCATCCATCCATCATCCATCCATCCATCCATCCATCCATCCATCCATCCATCCATCCATCCATCCATCCATCCATCCATCCATCCATCCATCCATCCATCCATCCATCCATCCATCCATCCATCCATCCATCCATCCATCCATCCATCCATCCATCCATCCATCCATCCATCCATCCATCCATCCATCCATCCATCCATCCATCCATCCATCCATCCATCCATCCATCCATCCATCCATCCATCCATCCATCCATCTATCTATCTATCTATCTATCTATCTATCTCTGTCTGTCTGTCTTTCTATCTAAATTATTATGTTCAGGTATTTGAGGTTCTTACCATTTTTGTGTTTAGGAAAAAAGTTATTTTTATAAAATTATATAATCTACTACTACTGCTACTAATAATCAAAATAAATAAAACAAATACGATCATGAATTCCTGAATACACACCTCAAATTTAAAGGGTATTTTCAGTCATTAGATGAACGGAAAATATGTCAAAGAATGCTGAATGAATCGCTCCTTTAAAAGGAATGATTAGGTTAAAGAAACTGTAAGTAAAAGCAGTGCGGCGACTGATGAGCTCTCTGTGCCAAAGCCGATGGGACAGATGTCACAGGTCTGTTTCCAAATTCATCTCATTGCAAATGAAGCTTGAATCGTTTTCTTTTATTAATGCACAAACGGGAGGCTTCTTTTCATGCTCATCAAAAGCCTCTTGTTGACAAACAGCAGGATTACGATCTTCAAGAAAAATACCGCCATGTTTACCGCTTTATTGCCGGCGTGTCATGCCCTTGAGAGAGAGAGATGGAGCCAGTGATGAAGGAAAACACGCTCTCCACTCTGCACTGCCAGATATTTAAAATAGGCTGTTGATAACACAATTTACTCTGCAGGTTGAGCAGATGAAAAAAGTGACATTCATTGGCAAAAAGAGGAGGGAAAAAAATTAGTGTAGAGGCATGCAGGACACATGAACATATGAGGGAGATGAGAAGAGGAGAAACGCTTGACTCACATTGAACAGCTCAACCTGCCATTCGAAAGAAAAAGAGAACAAGAGGGAGATTTTGTGTCCAAAGGAGGACTACCTGGAGAAAGAACTGTTGGGATTACCGTACATATCAATGACAGTTGCTTGGCCGGCGCATCAAATGTAAAAGTTGAAGAAAACTTCCAGCGATATCACTCTTGATATCACATTTGTCACATATCCCCAATGGGACATGGTGATGGAAAGATATATGAAATGGGAGGATAAAAATATATATTTTGTGCTCCACTAAAAACCTTTGCTTTCTCTTGCAAAACACTGGTGTTTTCTCACAAAATTATTGCGTTCATCAACAATCTTTGTTCGCTTACAAATAGTGTAAGTTTAAGACTAAGACGGGATGACACCAAGGTCATTAAATATTAGCTGTGACTATATCAACATGAAATAGCATTGACGAAAAAATCCGAGACTAAAATTTTACGAAAATCGTTTATTTTTTGGTTGGAAAAAAGAGAAGAGAGCGTTCATGCTTGCGGTTGCCAGATGTCAAGAGTTTTGTCTTGATTTGTTCTTATGTGAAAGTGCAATAATTCTGATGAATGAATTTAGCAAATGACAACAATCGTTGTGATTATAATCGTGAGCAAAATAATTGTTATTATCAGTTTAACCATTATGCAGCATGACGAAAATAACGAAAAAGTTTTCATTGACTAAAACTAGACCAAAACTCTCAGACATTTTTACTTGACCAAAACTTGACTAAACAAAAACAGGTTGGCTAATATGAAAAAAGCTGAAAAGTACATTTTACACAGGACTAAAACAATAGCTGACAAAATGAACACTACTTACGAAACACTGGCGTTCTCTTTCAAAACTATTGAGTTCCCTGAAAAATGCAAATACACTGAAATAAAGGCTGAGTCCGAAAACTGACAAATGCTGCATTTGGAGGACGCGTTCCAAGGTCAAAAGGCATCAAGACATGCCCGAATGCAATGTTAGTTTCACTTCCTGTCTCCTTAGATACCTTCATTTGATCCATTTTTTTGAATGAAGCATATATGTATCCTTCGCTGACTTTGATATCCCACAATCCTGTGCTTTCCATTCTGCGACAGTTGAGATAGAAAAATAAAGATGGCGCCTGAAAGTTGATGCTGGTCATCAGTTTGTGTGTAACTGTACAGTACATTTTTGATAAACCTTTTCCACTTATGATGTCATTTCTAGTATGAAATTTCTATTGTAGTCATTAAATATTCACTTCGTCTTCACTGAAGCTCGCTCTAATTAGCTGTTGATCATTAAACCCTTTCGCTGCCTCAGAAGTCTGTCTGAAATCAGTTTCGCGAGGAACCTTTGTGCGCAAACGCTGTCCGCAAAGTCATTGCCTGATAGGGCAGTGAGGCAACAAGTCAGTTGACTACTTTTCGGGCATAGCCAATAGTTTTTCTTCCAACCTCATATTATTTACACCACTAAAGTTTTACGAACAGATGCAAAAGTAGTGAAATTCCTCTAGTCTCCTTTTTATTAAATCATCGCCATGTCCTTTTAGGGGGTCTGTACAATGCAACAAAATTAAAGCAAATGAAAGCGGTCTAACAAGCTTACAATTTAGACAACATCATTGACTGAATGACTTTAATCCATGCTGCCCGAGCTGGGAGCAAAACACACTTTTTGTCCTTAAAAACAAGCCACACAAACTTGTTGTACAGAATGTGTCTCCGGTCCTCATCATTTCTAAATGAAGCTCTGGTGTTGAAAGACAGACCACGGTGCCCTTTATCTGATTGTAAAGCACATCTATAATGATTCTGTGTACACAAAAATAAATCTCAGCGTCAGACCAACCGCCTAGACCCTTTTCGTTCACTCCCGGCAAGAAATTAACACTCAAACACACACACACACAATTTGAGTCTGCCAGTGTGAAATTTCTGCCTGGCTAGAAAAAAAAAAGAAAAAGAAAACGCCACGAAAAGGACAAAACCACAAATGTGGAACTTCAATTAATTTAAAGCTCCAATCAGCAAAGAATAAATCCTTGGCAGATCTAATTACTGAAGCTCTCGGAAGACCCGGGCCGACCAGCCAATCTCCCTCATGTTTGAACAGCTTGATGAACTCGGGGACTGATGGATATCAAGTCATTTTGTTTAATTTATAAATGGATTTTCCCCTAATACTTAAATTATCATCAGTACAACACAATGAAAATGGGAACATTTGGAAGGCAAAGTCTATAAGAGGCCTGAAAAGAATTCCAATGAGGAATGTCACCTCTTTTCATCCCTGCTATACAATTCGTCTAATTAAATTCGGGAGCAGGGTAAGCCTGTGTTACAGTGCTGCCGTCACACGGGCCGCCCCTGGAGAGTTCGGGCCGAGCGGAAGACACTCATCAGGCATATCATGTCACGCACGCCATTAACACACACTTTTGGCATCCTAAGGTCTAACTCACAGTCTCTGAGCGTCGCATTGACCGCTTGGTGTAACATATAGTAGATATACTAAAGACTTCAGAAAGCAACATGGTTTTGAGTACACATAAATAAACAAACAAAGAAAAAAAGTAGAGCATGAATCTGGAGCTTCAAGATCATTGGATGACAAGAATTGAAGCATAACTGTGCATAAAAGCAACTATTAAAAAATATAAATAATACAATAGAAAAATATTTATTTACTTTTATATTACAGCTGAAAATATGACTCTAATGGTGTGTTCACGCCGGACGCGAATAGCGCGTCAGGTGTGAATGATTTCAATGTAAAGTCAATGCAAAGACGCGTTACGCGCGTAAAAAAATTTCCTGCGGCGCGAATGAGGCACCGAGCGTGGTGCGGTAGACGCAAATATGCCTCATTTGTGCGAATTATTTAGTTAGCACTATTTGTGCATTCATGCGTTTCACAGAAAAATTTTAGGTTTGGCGTCAAAATTTTTGATTTTGACGCACGTAACAACAAAAGTTTGAAGCGAAATTTACGTGCTTCGAAATCGAAATCCGTTGGCAGACATTTTTTTATATTGACCGAGCATTCTTCGAGAGAGTCACCGCTCTGTATTTGCTCTGGAGAGCAGAACAGCGGCGTGGGGATCATCGTCGCCGTATTTGTGTTCCAAATACAAAAGTGGTCAAGCGTCAAAGATGTGAATTTCACGCGAAAGACGCTAAGGAAAAACTTTTTCGTACATTGTTTCTGTACACTTTTGACCAGGCGTCTAAATCCGACGCACATGGCAACCTTTACCGTCAGTTAAATGACGCGGATAGGTTTAGGTCTGGGGTTGGGGTTAGACCACTAGGAGGCGCGTCTCATATTAACACTAAAGGGTGCCATGTGTGTCGGATGTTGACGGATGGTCAAAAGCGTCAGATAGATGACGCCATGGGATGAGAACGGGCTGTGTAAACGTACCCTCAAAGTGCAACAACAGAAATGTTTTAATACAAATAGAGAAATTAGATCTAAAAGTGCAGCAATAGAAATAATCCCTGTATTTATAATTCATGTATTAATAAAATTAAATAAAATGAAATGCAAACTAGGGAGATTACTACATAAAACACAAGTCTATGATGTTTAACCTTTAACGTGATCTTACCTGGCTCAGGTGTCTCAGAGTGAGAGGAAGAGGAGGCAGAGCTGGCCCCATCCTCAGCCCCGCCGCCCTGAGACAGGAGCCCTCTCCCCGGAGGAAGCTTCATCCCCAACTGCTCCGCCATCTCCACGTGATCGCCCGGGTGAACGTAGTCAAACACGCTGCTGCCCGTCAGTTCCACCTGCAACAACACCAGTATCAGTGATCTGCCTGAAAACCAACAGCAAACTAACTTTCTGTTTTTAAAGGAATAGTTCACTTTGAAATTCATTTTTGATATGTTTTAGCTTACCTCAATGGTATCCAAGATATAGGCGTCTTGTTTTAGCAGTAGTTTCAATTTTGATATTTTAAGGTTAAACCGTTCGTGTCTGTAAGTCATATAATGGAGGTCTATGGTCACCACCTCAAAGAGCATGCACAGAGAAGTCCAAATTAAACATGATTTAAGGAATCATAAATGTAAGTACACATTGATGGCCTAAGACACGAAACGAGCGGTTTGTGTGAGAAATTGAACAGTATTTATATCGTTTTTACCTCTTGTAACCATATTTTTGCCTCAATGTTGTACCTCGAACATGTTTTTAAAAAAGATATAAATCCGGTTCGTTTTCTCACAAAAAAACACTCGTTTCGTGTCTTAGGCCATTAATCTGTACTTACAATTATGAGTCTTTAAATCATGTTTAATTTGGACTTCTCTGTGCATGCTCTTTGCAAGGTGGTGACCATAGACCTTCATTATATGACTGACAGACAAGAAAAATGTATCAATATTGAAAATACTGCGGAAACAAAGACACCTACATATTGGATGCCCTTGAGGTAAGCTTAAAAATAATTAATTAATAAATAAATTTCAAAGTGAACTATCCCTTTAACTAAAACTAAAAACTGCTAATCATTTTCATACACTGAAAAAAAGGCATCAAATATAAATATTAGATGAAAAACTTAAACTTAAAATAAGAAATGAAACATAACAGTACAAATTAAATCTTATCAAAACTGAAACTAGATTAAATTAAAAGGAAAAACAATAATAAAACAATATATTTATATTACATTTATATGTATTTTTAACACTTTTATCAAATGTGCTCAAGTATACATATTAGTATGTGTGTTCCCTTGGAATCAAACCCATGACTCTGATGTTGCCAGCACAATATTCTACCAGTTGAGCTACAACTACCACATTGCTCAACAGATTGTTATTTTATATACCCTCACATAGGTAAAATTTCATGAAACTTTGATTCATATACGATCTGTTTCTCATTATATAAAGTCTTTTATGTCTTATTCATGAAGGTTAGTATGAAGTATTCCCCAGTTATCTTTCACAGTGTGCTTTTCTGTAACTGTAGTGCAGCTAAAAGCACTCGTGCTCTTTAAAAATTTGACTTCATTCCTCCCCGGAGAGGTTTCCTTCTGCCCGAGACACAACTTAATGCTCTTTAGATAGAGCTCGTCCAAATAATCAAATAATTAGCGTGTGCTTGTCTAACCTTTAAACACGCTAATTTACTAAGCAGGGGGGAAACGGATTTACTGTTGCTAACTGGGGATGACAAGAAAAAACAACAGGCAGTTAAAGTATCTTTCTGTGCTTCTTAAATATGCAGTTGTTGTGTTTGAGTAACACTGGTGCTGTTCTGTGAGCAGGTCCACGTCTACAGGGACCTGCGGATTACATGAGAATAATCCCTTTAATGTCCTATCCCTCAAAGCAATTTAGTGCTTCACAAATTATTATTCAAAACAGAAACAATGAAGAAAGAGGCAGACCGTTGACACAGACATGGGCTTGCGTTACTTTTGGACAATGCTGGAACTGTGAAACAGAATAATGCTGTGTATTAATTGTTTAAGATTTAGGATATTCCTGCTAAATATCTCTACTATAGATGGTCAGAAGGTGATGCACAAAGAATAAAATGGCTATGCCAGAACAGGTCAATTTACTTTTATATCGAAAAATAACTTTTAAGTTAAGTAAAAACTTGAAAAAAAAAAATGAAAGCAAATTAAAAATAGTAAAAAATAATAAAAATGACAAAACTACTAAAACTTTAAATACAATTTAAATATGAATAAATATAATAGTATAGAAAAAATACTTTAAAAATAATCACAAACCATAAAAAAACAAGGTTGCATGCATATATAGGTCAATCACTGACCTATATATCTATATTATCCCAAAGCAGAATATCCAAAGGAATGTATACTGGAGGATTTTATGTGCAACTCAGTTTGAATAGAACAATAACCACAGAAAACCTATGAAAAACAGACAACAAAACAACAGTGAACAGGACCACCAACTGCGCTCTGTCTCTTTCTTAATGTTTAGCCTCTCACACAGAAGAAACCAAACAGCACATCTGATTTCTTTTTATTTTTCAGCATTATTTTGTATCTGGGCATCAAAAATGTGCAGGCACAATCCAAGTAAGACTTTCTGGATCTTTCTCTGGAAGACTAACATTCCACTGATATCCAGTAGACCAAAGAATTGAGGATTCTTTTTGAAGAACTAAAGAGAAGGGCTTGAGGTTTTCAACTGGCTTACAGACAACTGAAGTCCAATATCAACAAAAAGAAGAAACAAGCCATTCACTTGAGAAAAAAAAATCACATCAGTTTAACCTTGAGAGTCTAGCAGCTCTATATATGAGCTTTACAATAAGGTTTCATTTGTTAATTTGTAAAGAGTTTTATCTCTAAAAACTGTTTAGCGTATAATGCTAGTCATGGGGGCATATAATAAGTAAAAAGAAATGGCTAGTTTATACCACTAACAAGGCTCAGAATTGGCCCACACTAACACGGTAACATAATGAGGGTCCCTACATGCAAAACGAAGCATTGAGAACTTTGTAAGTGTACAGACCGTTTAATAAGAAGATACTTAATAAAGACAGTCCACTTCGTGTATACAGGCGGTGCCATCTTGGAAAACAGTCTCGACAAGTCGAACGTGATCTGAACTTCTGAACTGTATGAACGGCGTTCGGGGATCAACTTATCGAGACTATTTTCTAAGATGGCGCCGCCTGTATACGCGAAGTGGACTGTCTTTATTAAGTATCTTCTTATTAAACGGTCTGTACACTTACAAAGTTCTCAATGCTTCGTTTTGCATGTATGGACCCTCATTATGTTACTGTGTTAGTGTGGGGCTATTTTGAGCCTTGTTAGTGTTATAAACTAGCAATTTCTTTTTACTTATTATATGCCCCCATTACTAGCATTATACGCTAAACAGTTTTTAGAGATAAAACTCTTTACATTCGATTATCATGAAAACAAATCTCAGAGAACGGTCGACTAGGTACCGATGTTTTATTAGACCAAAGGTTCATTATGTACCGGAGTTCTCCTTTAAACGTTCATGTTATATATTTTGGTTGCATTTGTGAGTTAACAGAAATGTAACTGGTTGTGAAAACTTGGCACATAATATGTAAATATTGATAAACCAATCGATAAAGCCCTGAAGTGAATAGTAATCGTTTTGTATCAGCAAATATCGTATCGCTGGCTGAGAGAATCGATGTCATATCGTATCATGATGAACCGTCCGATTTACACCCCCAATTAAGAACACTTTATATTATTGATTGCTATTAGGATGTTAAGAGTTTCAACCAGTATAACAAAAAAGTTTTTATAAAAAAAAATATTGCCTATACCCTTTAAAAGTAATAGTGTCCATTTTGCATTTAATGTTGATTTTAAGATTAAAAAATGTATGAAAACTTGTCAGGTAAGTGACTATGGTAAAAATACATTGCAATAAAGTGCTTAGAAAATCAGTGATGAAATGTAAAGCTATCTCTCTCTCACATGCCAGGGCAGGCAAACCTTTTGTGTCCATTATAATTCATGAACATGGCCCTGCCGACTATTTTAACAGTATTAGAATGAGCCCACTTTTCAGCACAAGTGGCTGCACAAAGCACTCGTCTCGCCTTAATCTCTGAGATGCGAACAATGCGCCGAGAAAATAATATCGGCTCTAATACTCATCGTGTGGCGGCCGGAGCGGTAAAGTGTTGTCTGTGACAAGAGACGAGCAGATTATGCTCTGTGATTGCAGAAAGGACACTTGGATTACAGGAGGAGGTTTTGCATTGTAAATGAGGCCCGGCTCGCTGGAGTGGGGCCACGGACGGAGCCCACCAGCAACATGCTTATTTTGTAGAAGGTCACTCAATAAGAGTCCCCTCCCCTCCTGGCTTATTAAGACTGACTGGCATGCATTAATGAAATCACCTGATTTTACAAACATGAAGAGAGAGAGAGAGGAAATGGAGAAGGAAGGAGAAAAAATCTCTGGTGTTATGCTTGATTTTAAAGAAGGAAGCCCTTAATTAGAAAGGTTTCAGAAATGTCAGCTATTAACTGTTCTGCTCTATTAAAGCTATAATACCCAGCTGTCAAATTTCATCACCCGATGGGCGGTTTCATTCGGTTTCTTGTGCTTAATTTTCTCTATCCTGTGGGCGGAGCTAGAGGCGGGGCCAAAGCTCCATTGACCCCAACTTATATGTTTTGTTGTGTTGTGCCTGGTACGTTACAAAGGCCAACGGACCATTGTCTGGAAGTCTGATGCATATGGCACACTGGAAACACTTCAGGAGGTTCTAAGTTCTCATCTGATTGGTTGAATTCGACAAGATATCAAGGATACGTGCGTGTCACTTACTTTAACTGTCCTTAGGAAACAAATGAAGCCAAACCCCCTCATGGAAGAAGAACGCCGTCGTGTATGTGAAGTATGTAAAGTTCATGGTATAGACTCTTTAAAATACGTCCAAGAGTTTAAAGGGTTAGCTCACCCAAAAATGAAAATTAAGTCATTGATTACTCACCCCCATGCTGTACCAACCCCGTAAGACCTTCGTTCGTCTTCGGAACACAAATGAAGATATTTTTGATTAAATTTGAGAGGTGGATCACTGCTACATAGGCTGCCTAAGGGAATGAAACTTGACGGTCCAGAAAGTCAATGAAGAAAACGTTAAAATTTTGGCTCAACTATAATTTTATCAAGCTGCGAGAATACTTTTTGTGCGAAAAAACGACTTTATTCGACTATTCCTTTTCTTCCTAGTAGGCCTGAAACGAGACTTCAAGAGATTTCCACGACGCACACGCGAGAACTGA